GATGGATGGATGGATGGATGGATGGATAAATGGATGGATGGATGAATGGTTGGATGGATAGATGGATGGATGGATGGATGGATGGTTGGATGGATGGACGGATGGATTTATTGATAGATGGATGGATTGATTGATGGACGGATGGATCTATGTTGTATATAGAGAAAGAGAGATCGAGAGATATAAATAGATCGATCTATAATCATGATATATATATATAATGAAAATATCCGCTTGAAAATCGTGGAATAGAGAAGTGAATATAAACAAGGCAGGCTACCTTCATGTACGCCTCTGAGTAGGACACGACACGCACGCACGTGCCCGCAGGCGTCTGCTGAATATCGTTGCTAGTGGCAACGGCTGCGGCCGGCTCGCTGGCGTTTCCGGCGAAGTAGTAAGGAACGGGTGATTCGGGCGCCACTTGTTTCACGTCGCTCAAGTACGTCATCGACCTGTCTGCTTCCGGGTCCGCTGAGATGCCAGTGCCCCTGGTGGTGGTATCGCGAGCCTCTCTCGTGTATGTCGTCGATCGGTCGGCTTCAGTCTCTGCTGTGCTAGCAGCGCCCCTGGTGGCGGCGTCCTTTGTAGCAGCGCCCCTGGTGGCCGGTGCAGAGTTTTTGTCGCCAAAGGTGAGGACGGTTCTGAACACGCGCGGTTGGCTTTTCTCTTCGGAATCTTCCCCGCCTACGTTCCGAAGTTCCTCCGTGTGTTCCTCCGTGTGTTGCTCCGTGTGTTCTTCCATGTGTTCCTCCGTGTGTTCCTCCGTGTGTTCCCGCGTGTGTTCCCGCGTGTGTTCCCGACCCTGGCTGCTGCTGCTGCTGCCTACGCGCTCTTCAGTGCGCGCTACCTTGCTCGCAACCTGCGTCTCTTCCTTCCAGCCCGTACCACCGCTCTCCCGCGCGCGCTCTGACCCGCGTGACGTCACCGGAGTCGCTCCTCGTATCTCGTACACCCAGTCTATGTCGCCCTCCGACCGCGTAGCCTCCTCGCCGACAGGTGGCGCCCTGTTGGACGTCGGTCCGTTGGTCGTCGGCGGCGAGCCGTAGCGCGTTGACGTGCATCTGTTGTCGTCACCGGTGACGTCACCGGAGGTCGCATCGTCGACGGATTCGCTGCGGGTTTTCAGTTTCTGGAAGGCTTTCTGTAGTTCTGAGTCAGCGAGCGGGGGTTGTCCTGCTTCAGGGAAAACAGAATCATCTGCGGAGCTGTGTCGCGACACCGGCTTCAGTTTAAACTGTCCGATAGGTGGCGCTAGCTGAGCTTCTTCCGATTCCATCTTCTTTATCTGTTCGGCTGAGGAAAGAAAAAGTGCGGTAAAAATTACTCTCTTTCTCTTTCTCCCCTTCTCTCCTGATACTTGGTATACGGCAAATATAATGTGTGTATGTATGTGTGTGTGTGAGTGTGTGTGTGTGTGTGTGTGTGTGT